CTGGATGTGATACAGTGTTTCGATTATAGAACACAAACAAACCAGATACCTGCTTTCAGCAGCAGAGGCCTCAGAGCTGGAGCCAGAGCTAAAGCTGGCCCAGAATAAAAAAAAGAAAAAAAAGGAGAAGTTGGGAGCTTCAGTCACCCACCAGTGTGAAAACAGCCCTCAGCCCCTCACCCAGACTGGCCAGGCACCCCAGTGGGGACCCCCACCCCGAAGGGTGTGTGACCAGCTGCAAACAGCCATCATCCCCTCACCCAGGCTGGCCAGGCACCCCAGTGGGGACCCCCACCCTGATCCAGGACACCCTTCAGGGCAAACCAGCCAGCCCCCACCCATGCACCAGGCCTCTATCCTATATAGTAAAAGGGTAATATGCCTCCCAGCACTGGGATCAGCGGAGCCGGGAGGCCTCCCGGCACCGGGATCAGCATGACAGGGGGCAGCGCCCAAAACCCCTGATCGCCCTGCAGCTCTGTGTGTGACAGGGGGTGGGGCCACAACCTCCCTATCCGCCCTGCTCTGTTCATGACAGGGGAAGGCGCCCCAACCCCCTGATCAGCCCTGCTCTGTGCCTGATAGGGGGGAGCTCCCCAACCCCCTGATCGCCCTGCGGCTCGGTGTGTGACAGGGTGCGGCGCCCCAACCCCCTATTGGCCCTGCTCTGTGTGTGACAGGGTGGGCGCCCCAACCCTCCCCCCCCCCCACGGCCCCTGCTCTGTGTGTGACGGGGTAGAGCCATAACCTCCCCATCGGCCCTGCCCTGAGTGTGAGAGTGGCGGCGCCCCAACCCCCTGATTGGCCCTGCTCTGTGGGTGATAGAGGGCAGCGCCCCAACCCCCTGATCCGCCCTGCTCTGTGTGTGATAGGGGGGAGCTCCTCAACCCCCTAATGGGCCCTGCTCTGTGCGTGACAGGGGGAGCTCCTCAACCCCCTAATGGGCCCTGCTCTGTGCGTGACAGGGGGAGCTCCCCAACCCCCTGATTGGCCTTGCTCTGTGCATGACAGGGGGTGGCGCCCCAACTCCCCTATCGGCCCTGCTCTGAGCCTTACTAGGGGTTGCACCTAGGGATTGGGCCTGCCCTCTGCCACCCGGGAGTAGGCCTAAGCCAGCAGATCGTTATCTCCTGAGGGGTCCCAGACTGCGAGAGGGCACAGGCCGGGCTGAGGGACCCCCCTCAACCCCGAGTGCACAAATTTTTGTACACTGGGCCTCTAGTTTATTTTATAACTGGAAGTTTGTACCTTTTGACCCCCTCCCCCCATTCTTCCCTCCGCATCGCCCCCCCCCCAAAAAAAAACCACACACACACATACACACACACACACCTGCCTTTGGCAACCACCAATCTGTTCTCTGTATCTATGAGCTTTTTTTTTTAGATTCCACACATAAGTGAGATTATACTGTATTTGTCTTTTTCTATCTGACTCATTTCACTTAGTATAATGCCCTCAACATTCATCCATGCTGTCACAAATGGCAAGATTTCATTCTTTTTAATGATTGAATAATATTCCTTTGTGTATAGATACCACATCTTTTTACTCATTTATCCACTGATGGACACTTTGGCTATTGTAAATGATGCTGCAGTGAACATGGGGATGCACATATGTTTTCAAGTTAGTGTTTCATTTCCTTTAGGTAAATACCCAAAAGTATTGCTGGATCGTACGACAACTCTATTTTTAATTTTTAAAATGTTTTTTATTGATTCTAAAGAGGGAAAGAAAGGGAGAGGGAGAGAGAGAGGAACATTGATGAGGGAGCAATATCAATTGGCTGCCTCCTGCACAACCCTTATGGGGAATCAAGCTCACAACCAGGGCGTATGTCCTGACCAGGAATCAAACCAGTAACTTCCTGGTTCATAGGTCGTTGCTTAACTACTGAGCCACCTGGCCAGGCTATTTTTAATTTTTTTGAGGAATCCCATACTGTTCCCATAGTGGCAGCACCAAGTTACATTTCCCCAAACTGTACACAGGGATTCCCATGTATTGTTTTCTTCCTCACATCTCCACATGTGCAGAAGGGGAAGAACTGTGCTCAGCCCATTGAAAACTACAGGAATTAACCAAAACAGAATTATATAGTCCAAGGTTAGAATAGGATGTAAATCCAGCCATGTGCTCAGTGGTTGAGCATCTGCCCATGCACCAAGAGGTCATCTTTAGATTCTTGGTCAGGGCACATGCCTGGGTTTCAGGCTTGATCCCCAGTAAGGGGCATACAGGAGGCAGCCAATCAATGTTTCTATCTTTCTCCCTCTCCCTTCCTCTCTCTAAAATCAATAAAAATATTTTTTAAAAAGAATAGAATACTAAAAAATTCCGAAGGCATAGAAAATCAGAACGTACAATTCCTCCCTCCCCCAGTTTAAAATTTCCCATTGTGCAAATGTAAATCATCTAAACAGTATTTTAAGCACTCTTTCTTTTTTTGTGTCCCGTGGAAATTGAGACAAGCTCGTAAGCCAAGACAAGCAGAATAGGGAAACTGAGACAGATAATTAAACAGCCAAGCTATTTACAGCCATCTAGTGAATCCCAAAATCCTATCTTCCCTAAACCAAGGACACTTAAAAAGTAAATGTTTTAGCCCAGCCAGTGTGGCTCAGTGATTGAGTGTCCACCCGTAAACCAGGAGATCATGGTTGATTCCCTGTCAGGGTACATGTCTGGGTTTTGTGCTTGATCCGCAGTAGGGGCGTGCAGGAGGCAGCTCATTGATGATTCTCTCTCATCATTGATGTTTCTATCTCTCTCTCCTTTCCTCTCTGAAATCAATAAAAACATATTTTTAAATATATTTTATTGATTTTCCACAGAGAGGAAGGGAGAGAGATAGAGAGTTAGAAACATCGATGGGAGAGAAACATCGATCAACCGCCTCCTGCACATCTCCTACCGGGGATGTGCCCGCAACCCAGGTACATGCCCTTGACCGGAATCAAACCTGGGATCTTTCAGACCGCAGGCCGGCGCTCTATCCACTGAGGCAAACCCTTTAGGGCTAAAAACATTTTTTTAAAAAAAGAGTAAATGGCTTACACTTCTCCCCAACCAGAGAGTAAATAGCTTAAATCACCCTGCTCAGGGAGATAGCAAAAATCCAATTAGTGCCATTCGCCAATCACACCCAAGGACAGATGAAGTTACAATAAACCTCATTTTGGCACATCAGCATAAAACTGATTCATATTCTATTGAGATCCTCCCCTAAACTCCCAGCCTTTAAAAAACTTCACAACAGAAGTCCTAGTGTGAGCTCTCCCTTCCAGAAGCACATGGGCCTTTTCCTTTCCCCTCTTTCTCCCCCACAGGCATGTATCTCTTAAACTCTAAGGACCCTCATGAAGCTTGCAACCAGGGAGCGATGGGCAGCAGCAGCTCGTCCTGGGCTCACTCCTGAACCTGTCCCCACTGCCCCCTTTTCTCTGATGTCTTAGTGAGCCAAAGCACCCGAGTCTCAGCTCATTTCCCTGCCTAGTCTCTCTCCAGCTGCTTTTCCTAACCTAGGCACCTTCTTGTTTCACTGTCCCGAGCTTTAATAAACTTACTCTCAAAATCACCTGGACTCTTTTTGTGAAATCTTTCCTGCACGAAGTCAAGAACCCACACGCTACTGGCCGGCCCTAGGCAGACCCACTCAAGGCCAGGTCCCCTTTCCGGTAACAAAAATAACCAATTAGTCATTGCCCTTTGTGTTTACTTTTTTCAAAAATTTACCTTTATTGCTGAAAATATTACAGATGTCCCCTCTTTTTCCCTCCATTGACTCCCTCCACCCCATACTCTCTCTCCAGGCCTTCTGGTGAGGATGTGGAGAAAAGGGAACCCTCGTGCACTGCTGGTGGGAATGCAGACTGGTGCAGCCACTGTGGAAAACAGCATTGACTTTCCTCAAAAAACTAAAAATGGAACTTCCACGTGACCCAGTGATCCCACTTCTAGGAATATATTTTTAAAATCCCAAAACATCCATCAGAAAGAATATATGCACCTTTATGTTCACAGCAGCACAATTTACAATAGCTAGGATCTGGAAACAGCCAAGTGCCCATCAGTAGATGAGTGGATAAAAGAGCTGTGGCATATACATAATGGAACACTATGCAACTGTAAAAATGAGGGATCTCTTACTTACCCTTTGAGACAGCAGGGAGGGACCTGGAGAGTATTATGCTAGATGAAATAAGCTTTGTGTCTACTTTTAAATACATTAATAAATCATAAGAATTACCCAACATCTAATACATTTACTCTAACCTCAGAGTTTGGATAAGAAATGCTGCATTTCTCTCCTTTCTGGTTGAAAGGAATAGTAATGATTTTGTCATTGGCCAGTCTTCTCCAGCATTACCTGCCCAAATGTCAGCTCAACTCTGCCCCCTAGAGATGAGAAACCAGAGTGCCCTGACCATAACTGAACTATGTTAAGTTTATAATTCTGACACTGGGCTTTTCCAGAGGACTGCCGCTTTCCACTTTATATGCTTCTACATTATTTGAAAGTGTGTCAGATATTGATTTTATAAGTTAAAAATTTCCATTTTAAGGGGAAAAGATTATCTACAAATATAATTTTATTAGAAGTGCTGCTTTGTGCTATAAAGGTGATTCTCTCTCATCATTGATGTTTCCATCTCCTTCTCCCTTCCTCTCTGAAATCAATAAAAATATATTTTTAAAAAATATAAAAAAGAAGGTAATAAGCTGGCAGCTTCATTTTCAGAGAGCCCCCCCTCCTCCATGTACTATGGCCCTGAAAATATGGTGAAAATAGACTTCCTCCCAGTTTGATAAAATATATTATAAAAACCCTAATCATGATTTTTCCAGGTCCTGCCATTCTTGAGTCCAGGGAGCCGAAAGACCTCCACGGGTGTCTTGGCAGGGGTAGGAGGTGGCGACTGTCTCGGCCAGCCAGACACTGGGCGGAGGAAACTCCATCCAGTTGGCTCCTATTCCCATGGATGGGCACCTCTCCCAGCCCTTTCTATCGGGGTCAGAGCCAGTGGGCAGACCATCCTCAGAAACTTGGTTAACAAGACAGAAAAGCGCTGAAGGAAACCTGGGCTTTCCCACAACTACAGCACAGTGCTGCCCTTGGTGGCAGGTCAGGCCCCATCCTCCCCCGCAGGGGCGGCAAATAACAGGCTAAGGTCACCGTGTAAAGCTTGCAGTTATCTTTTACGTGTGTGAAAAGTATAAAACTGTGTATAAAGGCGACAAAATGGATGCAGGTGTAAGCAGTATGAAAATTGAAATAATTCAAGTCAAAGATCATCACTATTTTACTTTTCTTTCACTGTTTTCCTCTTTTTTCCTTCTCCTGTTCCTTCTTTCTACTGTTTATGTCAGCGTTAGTTTGTGTCTTACCTAATCAATCAATTATAGTATTAGTTGTAAGTAGTTTGGGGAGATACTCTTCTTTACAACACAGCGAGTAACCGCCCTTGGGCATCTGAAGATTCAAGACAGAGACAAAGCCTACGTCAGAGGAGTATTAGAGAATGCTAGAATCTTTTCCTTTAGGGAAAAAAAATAGTAATAGAATATGGTTTCAATGACCTGGTTGCAACCTAATTGACCTGGTTGCATAATCATTTCATGAAGTGTACATATGTCAAATCATTGTGTTGTACAATTTAAACACATACAGTTTTATTTGTCCATTATACCTTAACAAAGCTGAAAAATAAGTAAAACACATGCTCACTTCAGCAGCACGTATACTAGGCCTGGAATAACACAGAAAAGACTGACTGCTGAGCAAAAATGGCACAAATTCGTGAGGTGTTCCATACTTTTTAAATAATTCATGGGATGTAATAGACAGTACGGTGGCTGTAGTTAACAATACTCTCAGTATATCTGAATGTTGCTAAGAGAGTAGATTGTACGTAAAACTTCTCATCATAAGAAAAAAAATTGTAACTATGTGTGGTGATGGATGTTAGCCTTATTGCGGTAATCATTTCACAATTTCTACAAATATGTTATACACCTGAAACTAATATAGTGTTACATGTCAATTATGTTTAAACTAGAGGCCCAGTGCACAGATTCATGCACATTGAAAGGAAATTAATTAGAAGAAATATTTAGAAGCTGGGGAAGGACCTTGGGAGATTGGCCAGCCAGGGAGGGATCAGGGGAGGTTGGCTCCAGGGCATATCTGGCCCGTCTCACCCAGGCCCAGTCCAGAGAGACTGGGGCCAGGGAGGGACCGCAGGAGGGCTCCAGGGTGTGTCCGGCCCATCTCCCCCAGTCCCGATCAGCTGGACCCCAGCAGCAAGCTAACCTATCAGTCAGAGTGTCTGCCCTCTGGTGGTCAGTGAGTGTCATAGCGACTGGTCGAACGGTCAAACAGTTGGACACTTAGCATATTAGGCTTTTATTATGTAGGATAAAACTAATAAATAGCCCTAGCCAGTTTGGCTCAGTGGATAGAGTGTCAGCCTTTGAACTGAAAGGTCCCAGGTTTGATTCCAGTCAAAGGCACATTCCCGGGTTGTGGGCTCAATCCCCAGTGGGGGACTTGCAAGAGGCAGCGATCCATGATTCTCTCATCATGGATGTTTCTATCTCTCTCTCCCTCTCCCTTCCTCTCTGAAATCAATAAAAATATATTTTTAAAAAACTAATTAATAAATAAATGGTAAAGAATAACCGCATAAAGATACAACCAAGAACACACAGCAGACCTCAGAGAATCAGTCTCCACTCATGTAATCAGAATGGTAACCTCCTCCCACTCCTGCTCAGTTCTCAAGTACTGCGACAGGACCCACTGATAAGGGGAAATGGAGGCCCTGCCTCAGGGTAGGAGCACGAGTCAGAATGAACTGGACTCTGTTCCTAGCTCGGCCACCACACCTGTGAGGGCCTGAAGTCTCCTAAACATCAGTTTCCTCAGCCAGCAAGTGAAGAGAAGAAGAGGTCCCTCCTTAGAGTGCTGAGAATTGTTCTAGGTAATGCATTAAAGACTTCAGCCTAGTGGTTCAGTGGTTGAGGGTTGACCTATGAACCAGGAGGTCACAGTTCAATTCCTGGTCAGGGCACATGCCCAGGTTGTGGGCTGGATTCCTGGTGAGGGGCATGCAGGAGGCAGCCGATCAATGATTCTTTCTCATTATCGGTGTTTCTATCTCTCTCTCTCCCTCTTCCTTCCCCTCTGAAATCAATAAAAATAGAAATATATGACCTCAGCCTAGTACTTGGCATGTTAACTACCAATCCTTATTAAACGCTGGCCATTAGACATCCTATATAATAAAAGTTTAATATGCAAATCGACTAAACAGCAGAACAACAGGCAGAACGGCAGGTCACTATGATGCACACTGACCACGAGGGGGCAGATGCTCAATGCAGGAGCTGCCTCCAGCCTGCAGGCCCCAGGCCAGCCAAGGCAGGTACAAACGGGGGCCCACCAATGGCCCTGCCAGTTGCCCCGCAAAAGGAGACAACCGGCAGCCACAGCGGTAGGGGGCAGGGTCAGCAAGTGGGCAGCACCAGGCCGGCCAAGGTGGGTGCAATCAGGGGACCCTGATCACCTCACCAGTCATTCCACAGATCGGCCCTGACCACTGGCCAGGCCTAGGGACCCTACCCGTGCACAGATTTTGTGCACCAGGCTTCTAGTACTTACATAATTACTTCTAATGAGGAAGTAAACCTAGAGTCACACCAATGACTTTTAAGATTATTTGTGATATTGATGTGAAGCAGGACTGGTAAAGAAGTGTGGATGGCTCTTTAAATATCTGTCTTTACATTGTCAAGAATTACTTTATTCTATTAAAACACCTTTCATCCTTCTTACTAGAGGCCTGGTGCACAAATTCATGTACAGCTGGGGTCTGGCCCATGTGCCCCAATCAGGGCCAATCAGGCCAGCCAGCTGGGGGGAGGGGACGTGGGAGGTTGGCAGCTGGCCCCGCCTCAAACGGGGTGAAGGGGGCTGATAGGGGGCAGGGCCAATGGTGGGGGAGGGGCCACCAGTGGTTGGCCAGCCACCCCACCCCCTGGTCGGAACTCCTGGTTGAGGGGACAATTTGCATATTAGCCTTTTATTATATAGGATTCTCATAAAAGGACAACAAAGCAGATCAAACTCTCAACTCAGATGCCAGAGCTGGAGAATGATGCAGTCTTCTTGGGGAGCAGTGCAACCAGCGCCCACTTCCATCACTCAGCATCACAGACCGTTTTTTACAGCTACCACCCCCAGCGTAGTATACAGAACTCAAAAAACGCAGCAGCATCTGTCGTCCTAAAGTGGAAACAAAGTCCTACTTGGGCCCTTTCTCCGAGAGAGGAACCATGTGTGCCTCCCCATGCTCTTCCTTCCTAGAGCTGCCTCTTTCCTCCGCTTTCTCCCGGGATCTCGTCTCCATCCGCAGGCTTTCTCTTTCATTTCTTTCCCTCCTGCTCTCAGGTCCCTGGAAGAGAAGGTCGGAAAAGCATGAAAGTGCCAGTGGCTGACAACGTTCCGCATTTCTCTTAATTATCAGAAATGAAGCAAGGCCTGACCATCGAGCAGACTTTCACACCTCAGTTTCTTGTAATAAATTAGCATAAGCCTAAGGGTGGTGCTAAGCGTTTTAGTCATAAATAAAAGGAATAGGGGCCTGTGATGGTCTATGGAGGACACTCAGCCGGCTCGCGACTGGCTCTGCCTCTGACACACGGAGGGAAGTGATTTCACAGCACAAAACTGAAAAGGGATGTGGTAAGTGAATCATACAGGCAATGATTCTAACCTCCCTGTGTCCACTCCCTTAAATTATATTAATAGTAGGGTTTGCACTGGTTTTAATCTGAGGACTTTGTGAAGACTGAAGTGTCAAAAAAAAAAACCACCCAAATCATCAACAGTCCCCAGCAGGTTACCCAGGGGCCCGTATTCACTGGGATCAGGAGATACGGCACCAACTACAGGACCCAACTTCCTACCTTGTATACCTAGGTGGAGGGACACAGGCAATAAGTCTAAAAGGAAACAAGAGAATAAGCAATAGTGACGAGTGCAATGATAACTATGAACAGGATGAAATGACAGGAAACTATTGGGGGGGGGGGAGATGCTTCTTTCGTTTCCATGGTCAGGGAAGGCCTTTCAAAGAGTGGTGATGATGATATCTGTTTACACTTTTCTCTTTTAAAGTAAAAGAAATAAAATCATTGTTCTCCCCTCCTCCATCTGATCTAGAAACGCCCGGGAACCCCCAAATGCCTGTCAAGTGAATTGATGCAGTGGCGAGTGGCGGTGAGATGAGCAAGGTCCGGACTCAGCCCTGCAGGGGTGTCAGCTACTCTGCAGTGTAAATTGTTAGTGGAATGTACCAAGGTCGTTTCATTTCTATCCATACGGGTCCATTTGTCCCAGAAGACAGAAAGCCAAACAAATGATGAAGCTGAGATACAAACTAAGAGGAACTTAAAAATTGAACTAGCTCCATAAATGTGCCCCCAGATTATTTTCATTAGGTGCAGCAGTTGTATTTAGACACATCCGTCTGATCAAAATGTATATTTAGCAGTCGTGAATGTCTCTAATACTTAAAGAACAGTATAAAAACGAAAATATGGTGACGATTATTTCCACTTTTCCTTTATTGAGAATAAAGACTGAGAAATGCTCAAAAGTAAGACCTGAGATATTTTTCTTATCTCACTTAGAAACAAAATGTGAAAATTATCAATACAAGCCAATTGAGTTTTTCAATATCAAGATGATATTGAAAAGTCATTTGTTGTTGGTCATAATCAGCTACAAAAGCAATTTCTGGGTCTTTTTGATGCTAAAAGATACAGAATTTAAATCTACATATTAGTATGCACCTGGAGCCCAAACAAAAGATAATAAATGTCATTTTTAAATTCACTGACAAATCACACTTTTTAATGTAGTTAGCTTTGGAAAGGTGTGTCAGTTGTGAAATAGAAAAAAGTTTTAAAATATCTGTACATGTTCTGAATTTTTAATTTTGTATTAAGATAAACTTTATAATATACTCGTTAAAACTGATATAAAAGAAAATATTAAATTTAAAATTATTTACTATAAATATTTTTATCACATGAAAATTGAAATAATTTTGTAAATTCCTAGCAGGTTTCTAGCTATTATAGTATACTAAAGGCCCAATCGGTACACCAGTGGGGTCCCTTGGCCTGGCCTGCAGGGATCAGGCCGAGACTGGCTCTCTGACATCCCCTGAGGGGTCCTGGATTGTGAGAGGTCAGTTCTTGGATGACACACCCTGGAATCCAGCTCCCTTCTCTCTGGTTCCAGGTGTGTCACCTGAGAACCACAGCTGCCAAGTGACTGCAGCTCAGTAGCTCCTGCTTTGAGCATCTGCCCCCTGGTGGTTAGTGCAGGTCATAGCTACTGGCCGGCTGGTCGGCCGGTCGACTAGTGGGCTGGCCAGCCGATCACTTAGGCTTTTATATATATAGATACCTATGAAAAGAATTCTTAAGTTAAAAAAAAACAGTTGAAAATGCTGCCTTGGTTATCTTGGCATTCAAAAGGTAGAACTTGGGCCCGGCCGGCATGGCTCAGTGGTTCAGCATCGATCTACAAACCAGGAGGTCAGGGTTCAATTCCTGGTCAGGGCACATGCCCAGGTTGCAGGCTTGATCCCCAGTAGGGGGCATGCAGGAGGCAGCCAATCAATGATTCTCCCTCATCATTGATGTTTCTATCTCTCACTCCCTCTCTCTTCCTTTCTGAAATAAATTTTTAAAAAAATTTTTTTTAAAAAGGAAGAACTTGGGAAATGAATGGAACAACATGTTATATTTTAGGAATGTTAGCAAATGGTTTCACTTAAGCAATTTTATAAGATTATGTGAAAAACAATTCAAGGCCATTACAATCAACAGAGAAGTGTTTAGATTAAAGTATTTTTCAAAATATATTTATACCCTACCTTATTCCAGAAAGGATTTAAGGCAGTTAAATTTCCTAAATGAATATAATCAGTAACTTTAACGTGTAGTTTTAAAACAGGAATTCCTTCACTTCTGCTTTATTCTTGCCAAAAGATCATAATCTTAATCTAACTATGAGGAAATATCAGATAAACCCAATTTGGACGTCATTCTAAAAAGTAACTGCCCTGTACTCTTCAACTGATAGTGTTACAAAAGACAAGTGAAGACTGTGGAACTGCTGCAGAATAGAACAGATTAAAGAGAATGAATTACTTGCAACACATGATCTGAAATCTCCCTACAAAGAATATTATCAGGACAAGAGGCAAAATAGGGATAAGATCAATAAATTAGATACAAAAGTATTGCATTGGTGGTAATTTCCTGAGTTTCATTATTGTTCTGTGTTTATATAAAAGAATGTTCTAGTGCTCTCGTTTGGGGATGGGAAGGAGAAAGAGAGTATAGTAAATATGATAAGTGTTAATATCTGGAGGGAATATAGATGAAGGGTGTATTCTTTGTACTATTCTTGTAACATTGCTCTAAGTCTGAAACCATATTTTTTTTAAAAGCAGTATAAAGAAAGGATAAAACAGGAGCTCTTGATAAGTGACAGCTGTTTACTATTCTTCCTTCTGTATTCCTCTTAGGATCAGGTGAAGAGAGCAGCTTACTGAAGGAGGAACATAGATACACAGGATTACTCTGACAAAAGTGAGGCAAAGGCACACAGTACAGTCCCAGCAGCCATTACTGCTAGGTAGAAAGCATTGTGCTCAGATGGGCAATGAGGTAGGAAGCACCTGAGTGTCCTTGCTGTGCACAGAGCGCAGCTGAAGAACCAGGTGGTAATACACCTAGGTTCACTTATTTGCTCTGTCTACTATATGGCAGAATATAGCATCGTTCCTGTTTTGCAAAATAAAACAAACAGCAAAGGGCCACAAAAAAAGAAGTATTTTGTTCAAGACCGCTCAGTGAGCAAGTTTCCCCACAGTAACTGTACCCCAAAATTAATTGATTACTTATGAAGCATTATTACATTATTACTTATGAAGCAAGCTCAGCATCACCAGTGGAGCTTCTATTATTCCCCCATTTTCAGCCTGTCTTCCTTGTACTTTACTGAGACCCTCCCAAGGCCACTGTGAGCACTTGGACCACCCCTACTCCTGGAAACTTACTACTAGTAGATAGTGACCAGAGAGTTCCCTCCACATGCTTTTTAAAAGTTCAAGGGAATGTGGCATCACGGACTACTTGCTACTGGATTAAATACTGCACAGGAGAAGTGCAAGGACAATGAGTCACAATTATCCTATATAATAAAAGGCTAATAGGCAAATTATCCCCCTTGACCAGGAGTTAGACCGCGAGTTTGACAAGGGGACGGGGCTCGCCGGCCAACTGCCCACAGCCCCTCCCCCTGGCTGGACCTACCCCTGATCGGCCCTCCCCCACTCTGATCAGCTGGACCCCACCCATGCACAAATTCGTGCATCGGGCCTCTAGTTCATGATAAGGGTGATGAAAGCAGTCTCAGAGAACTAGAGGACCTCCATAACAAAAACATTCCACTAATGGTCCTCCAGGAATTCTTCCTACACCAGAAGCCTTCAATAAAAATAATTAAAAATTATGTACATCTGGGCTATGTACAGTAAAACTGAGTGTCATTCTTCAAAGATCTCGTCAACAAGCTGTAAATGAAAAAGTTAGATTTGTCCTCCATGAGTATGGGGAGGAAGAACCCTTTGGGTCTCCTTTTCTAAAGTGGCTTAAATATTCAATAACTCTGTTACATACCAAAGACAGAGAGCGTTTGGTTCTAAAGCACAGTTGTTGTTCAAAGGACTCTGAAAATGTCCGTGTTTTGGAATGGGATCTTCTGTTTGATTCCAATGGGTCCTTGAAGGGCCCATCCTCTGAGCGTTTTCTATAATCCCTCATGTGGTTACGACATCGAAATCCCTGGTCCTCATGAGAATGCCTTCTAGGATGGCTGTCATATGATGTGACTCTGGGAAGCACAGGAAACTGGAAATACAGAATAAAAATGTTTACAACATAAAGAGACTGCATGAAATTAGCTCAGAGACAGAACAGCCATAAATTACTAACTAAACAAACCTCAGGCTGAACTGAAATTTTTTTTTATCTTTTTCATCAGTGGGACCTTCTTCTATAATAAAGCACTAGAATCAATCGGTTAAAACATTAAGTAGAACATCCCAAGACTAGCTATCTTGCTCCTCCACCACTAGGGCAATATCATGAAGCATTCAAAGCCTTGAGTTGATATGTATAAGTAAATTCCAAAATCAAAACAAATTTTAATGAAACCACACATGTTTAAGAAATAATGCAAAAAGGTATATGTGATTTCTGTACAAAGAAGGAATTTCTTTTTTTGTTTTTTGAAAAAATATGGACCGCTTCATGAATTTGCATGTCATCCTTGCTCAGGAGCCATGCTAATCTTCTCTGTATCGTTCCAATTTTAGTATATGTGCTGCCAAAGCGAGCACCAAAAAAGGAATTTCTAAGCAGAAGAGCAATGGAATAAATCAGAATGAAAAAAATTAATTTAACTATGCAAAAAAGCTGATATGCATAAAAAACAACTTAAAGTTAAATAGTAGACAAGAAACAAAAATCATGTGCTACCTGTTACTACTGTTTAATAATATCCTGACAATACATAGTATATCTTACATATATACAGAAAAACGTAGAAATCATGTAATACAATGGCATACGTGTTCAAATCACATTGGGAAATGATCACAGAAGAATATTTCAGAGAAATCAAACTTCTTAGAAGAATTATGACACTTGCTCTCCCAATTTCCCTCACTACCCAATCCACTCCATTCAAACTTTTGCATCCACAACTAATTTTGGTTATGAGGTTGGTCTCAATGTTGCCAAGTTCTGTGCACATTTTGTCTTGATTAATTCAGTAGCATTCGACCCATTTGCCCTTCTGGAAACACTCTGTCCCTTGCCTTCTACCACTGTGCCCTTAGATTCCTTTTGCTCTTTCTTCCTGTGACCTCACCCACCAATTTTGCCTCGCAAATAGCTAATCATCCTTCAGTCACCACTGAAACTGCATACCCCCAGAAAGCTTTTCCTGCCACCTTGATTGGTTCAGGTCCCTGTTAGATGTTCTCCTGGGCTCCCATACCTCTTTACGATATTCATCATGTAATCGGTAATTTGGGTAATTTTGTAACATGTCTCTCTTCTCCATTAATTTGTATCTCCATGACATCAAGGGCTGTGTTTCATTCTCTGTGAAATCCCAGGCCTCTGCAGCACCTTGCCTTATTCACAGGATGAGTTTATTAAATATCTATTGGATTAATAGATATATAAAGAATGAAAAAAAAATTCCAAATGGTAAGAATTGTTTATGCTTACTAGTCACCAACGATTATTTAAATGAAATAATGTACAATTTCGTCTTTCAGGTTAGCAAAAATAAAAATAAAAATAAAAATGTTTCTTAGTGATACCAAGAAGTGGCAAGAGTGGAGACAGACAGGCCTGTGATTCCTGGCTGGTAGGACTACAAATGGACACACCTTTCCAGTAAGCCATTGGCAAAATGTGTCGGGAGGTTAAAATATCCTGCTCCTTGGACCCATCTGTTGAGTGTTGTTATGGGCTGAGTTGTGTCCCTCCCCTCCATTCACATATTGAAGCCCTATGTGAGATACTCAGAATGTGACCTCATTTGGAGCTAGAACAGCGGTTCTCAACCTGTGGGTCAAGACCCCTTTGGGGGTCGAACGACCCTTTCACAGGGGTCACCTAAGACCGTCAGAAAACACATATATAATTACATATTGTTTTTGTGATTAATCACTGTGCTTTAATTATGTTCAATTTGTAACAATGAAATTGGGGGTCACCACAATATGAGGAACTGTATTAAAGGGTCACGGCATTAGGAAGGTTGAGAACTACTGAGCTAGAACCTTTAAGGATTAGGTTAAAATAAGGCCACTAGGGTGGGCCCTAGTCCAGTCTGACTGGTGTCCTACTAGAAGAGGAAATTTGGACACACAGAGACCACCAAGAATGTGTTCACACAGGAAAAACCATGTGAGGACACAGTGAGAAGGTGGCTGTCTATAAGCCAAGGAGGGAACCTCAAAAGAAACCACGTCTGCCGACTCCTTGATCTTGGGCTTCCCACCTCCAGATCTGTGAGGAAATAAATTTCTATTATTCAAGCCACCCAGTCGGGAGCATTTTGCAGCCCTAGAAGACAAATACACATGTCTAGAAACTTACTGTCAAACGATGATCAGAAATATGGTTAAAGATTTGTAAAGCTGCCAAGATACATGAGGGAAATATGTACGTACAAGTCCGTTTATGGTCCTTGGTGCTGTGAATAAGTTGGGGAGCAAAACAGGCAGAGTGTGCCCATCTTGGAGCTCATGTCTGCCTCAGAGAAAAAAACACAAAACAAATAGGCCACATGCTTACTCCTTCGGCTAATGCTACAAAGGTTCAAGGTGGCCCTAGCCAATTTGGCTCAATGGATAGAGCTTTGACCTGCGGACTGAAGGGTCCCGGGTTTGAATCCCATCAAGGGGATATACCTCAGTTGCAGGCTAGATCCCCAGCCCTGGTCGGGATGCATGCAGGAGGCAACCAATCCATGTGTCTCTTTCACATCGATATTTCTTCTGTCTTTCCCCCTCCATTTCATTCTCTCTAAACAGCAATGGAAAAATATCCTCGGATGAGGATTAACCAAAAACAAAGCAAAACACAAAGGTTCAAGGTGCAATGAGGGGATATAACAGGGTGAAACTGTGTGTACTTGGGTGGGTGAGGCTGGGAAGATTAGCAGGAAGCTTCCGTGTAGGTGTGATGACTAAGCTACAATCTGAAGGACAAGCAGGGTTAATTAGAGAACAGGAACATTTTCTGCCTGAGGACTAGCACCGCAGGTGCCCAGGCCCTGTCACAGGAGGAGGAGCTGTGGGGTGGAAGGAAGAAAAACCTGCTGGGGCTGGAGGGCATGGGGGCCTGAGGGGAGGGAGACTGGAATGGGGAGATGTGGAGGGGCTTGACGTAAGGTGCTAGCATAGGATGGGCAATTTTAAAACATACCGAACTGTGACCAAAGGTTTTTCTCGGTGATGTGGGATTGTGTTTGTTTTCTCCTCCTTTTTAGTATTTTTCAAGTTTTCTACAATGAGTGAATTGACATTATCAAGAAAAGAAATGATTATTTTAAAATTCTGAGATAGCCAGGGAAGCACAAATACTGCATGATGCCACTTACATGAGGTATCTAACATAGTCAAACTCAAAAAAAACAAAACAAGAAAAAAACAACCAAAACACATAAATAGTCAAACTCATAGAAGCAAAAAATAGGTTGATGGTTGCCAGGGGATAAAGGAGGGGAAATGGAAGGTTGCTAATCAGTGGATATAAAATTTCAGTTATGCAAGATGAATAAGTTCCAGAGATCTGCTTTACAGTATTGTGCCTCTAGATAATAACAATGGGTTATATACTTTAAAAACTGCAAAAAATGAAAATCTGCTGAGGGTATAGATCCCAGGTTAACTGTTCTTACCACAATTACATGTTTTATAACTTTTAAAATATGTTTTTATTGATTTTTTTAGAGAGAGAGAAAGAGGGGGAGAGAGAGAGAAAGAGACATCAATTGGCTGCCTCCTACACACCCCCTACTGGGGATGGAACCCACAATCTGGGCATGTGCTCTCACCGGGAATCAAACCAGTGACCTCTTGGTGCAGGGGATGACACTCAACCAACTGAGCCACACCGGCCAGGCACCACAATAACATTTTCAAACAAAATTTTAAAATGTGAGACTGGGAGTGAAATATTGATATCCTCTTCCACTGAGAGGCCTGAAAAGATTGGCAAGAGTTATGCCCAGCCAGTGTGGCTCAATGGTTGAGCGTCAAACCGGTTCAGTTCCCACCTGGTCAGGGCACATGCCTGGGTTGCAGGCTGGATCCCCAGTAAGGGGTGTGCAGGAGGCAGCCAATCCATGATTCTCTCTCATCATTGATGTTTCTATCTCTCCCTCTCTCCTCCTCTCTCCCTAAAATCAATAAAAACAACATATACATATTTGTTAAAAGAATGGCAAGAGTTTTAATCACAATATCTTTTTATATCAGGTGGAATTTCCAGTTTGTTTTTGGTGTGGGACTTTGTGAGAAACAAATATAAAAGGGCACTCTAATTGGTTACAGGGAGAAACTCCCACTTTTAAAAATGTTACTTACTATGCAAGTTCTACTTTTGCAATTTTATACGCCTTTGTAATGTAATTTCCCTGACAAAGACATGAATCAATGCCCCCACAAAACTTATTTTTACCAAGTGTGTACTTGTCTCCTGCACAGTCATGGAAGGAGGCTTTGTCACTTGGGGTGGGGTCCGACCTCACTGGCTGAGCTCCCAGGGGCCCCAGCAGCAGAGCCTGCGGCAGACACTGACTCTCAGAGCAGTAACTACCCAGTGCTCTGACTCTCGTTACAGAAGAGGCTTTAACAGCTTAGCTGTTTTCACGGTGGGCCCAGGAAACCGGTGCTGTTAAAAAAAAAAAAAAAAAAAAAAAAAAAAAAAAAAAGCCCTCTGTACTCTCTGACCCCAAGTTCTGATTTTAAAGATGTTGATTATGTAAGATCTTCACTTCAGAGCTTAACAATGTTCTTTATCCTGCCTTTCACTGCAGTCACCCTCGAGTTGTACCCCCCACCCCCCACCCCCGCCCCCGCCCTCTGAGTACACACAAGCTCCTGGCCACCCACTGGCAGCGAGGTGAGAAACAGTGAGCAGAAAGATGAGGTGCTGGGTGTGGAGTCTTAGTGCACAGTGTGTACCAGGGACTCTGGGGACTCTGACCTTGATCACTAACCTCAGAACAAATCCTCCCAGGAAGTCATGCTTCCTCACTTACAGATGAGGAAAATGAATCTTAGCTTAGCTCAGTGATTCGCCTAAGACGTGTGTGCCTAGTG